GAAAAAATAATTCAGCCATAGTATTAAGCTTTCTTAGCAAGCATTCAGCATTATTTAGCACTTTGCCCGCTTTTGAAATACATTCAACCGTAATTTTAGTTTAGTTCAAAGCAAAAAGATACGCGGCGGGATTTGATACATTTATTTTTGTTTAAAGAAACTAGAAAAAACTGAAATTATGTCGAACAAATATAATAGCGCGATTGAAGAAATGCAAATAATAACAAAGGATTATGTAGTAACGTTAACAGATATATGGAGCACAATGTTCGATGATGAATCCTGTAAAGAGAATTTAAATAAATTACTTGAACATGCTAGTCATTTCTATCAAGAGTTGGTTGAACAATCTTTGACAAGGCGCTCGTGTATTGAAAAAGAGATTAACGAGTTGAAAAGAGAGGCTGAAGATATAAAACGTTTGTTAAAAGTGGAGGTAAATGTGCCGCATAGAATAAGCGATACAACACCATTAATGGTAATTCAATACGAATTGGACCGCAGTCTTGAGGACTTACGCCAGCAATTGCTAGAGAGGCGCGCACAAATTTCTCAATTGCTCGAAGAACAAGCACTTTTATGTGATGAGCTTGGCGAACCAGAGCGTCCTCTACTTTCTGACCCATTGCCTACGCCCTCCGAAATAGAAGATTTTCGGAGGCATGTAGAAAATTTGCACAATGAAAAACAAAAACTTGAGAAGAAGCTCTTTACTATGCGACGTGATATAAAGAAATTTCTAGATATCTTGAATTTTAAATTACGTACGGAAATGGAAAAAAATTTGTTGCATTCACGCCATATCAAACTAAACCAAGAGACGTTTGAAAACTTGCAGCACATGTATGATTTGTATGGCGGCCAAGTACAGGGGTTGAAGGAAAATATAGACGACATGCGCAAGAAACTCGATACTTTATGGGAACGTTTAAGAACATCGCCAAACACACGATCAAAATTTCAACAATATACCGATTACAACCAATTTACGTACGATATCATATACAGCGAACTGCTACGTTGTGAGACACTAAAGAGTCAAAATATTAAAACGTATGTGGAACAATTGCGGAATGAAATACGCGAGTGGTGGGATAAAACTTTGAAGTCAGACTTGCAACGGAGCCGCTTTTCGCATTTTCAAAGTACTTGTTATACCGACGATCTATTAGTGTTGCACGAATTAGAATTAGATGATTTGAAACTATATTATGAAAATAATCGTCAATTGTTTGAATTGTATGCAGACCGTAATATTTTGTGGGATCGCATGCAAGCTTTGGAAGCTAAAGCTTCTGAACCGGGACGTTACAATAACCGTGGCGGTCAATTGCTAAAGGAGGAAAAGGAACGCAAAACTATAGCTACTAAGTTGCCTAAAATTGAGCAACAAATACAACAGTTTGTGCAGATGTATGAAGAAAGGGAGCATGCTCCCTTTTTAGTCTACGGTGAAAATATAGTCGACGTCATGAATTACCAGTGGGAGCAAAAACGTCTTAAAAAGGAGAAGTTATCCTCAGCTCGTAAGATTGCTAGTAAATCACGGGTAATTCAAAGCAATGCTAGCAACGCTATGGGCACCAATAGCATTACTAAGCGTACACCGATGACTTTAAAAAATGCCAGCTCTACGTTGTCGCTACGTAAAACGCCATCAACTGTGGATTTAACGGGCGTCTTCAGCAGCCAGAAGCGTAAACTGAATCCAGCTGAAAAGGTAACACCTTTCGCCAAGCGTAGTCTAATTGGAGCATTTAATAGTCCAAGTATTTTCATAAAACCCAGCAGCAGCGGCAAGATTACTAATAACATCGGTAAAGCTATTAAGATTCCAACTAAATTAAAGTCACCATTGAAGAAGAATCGCGTAATAGGAACTACTATTCGACGGCAGAGCGGGCGACGAAGCGTAAATTTGAAAAAACGTCGCTCCATTAATAGTAATTCCGGCCAGAAAGCTAAACCACCGAAAATAATTGTTACTGAATATACTACCGATGACAGCAATGGCGCTGACACCGACGGCGACACTTACGATTCGTTTGAAAAATGCATCGAACCAAGATCGAGATCATCTACTTTACAATCATCCATCGCCAGCACAAGTATCACCAGCGCTAATCGGACTGCGCGTATTAAACGGATGCAGAAATTGGCCAACGATGAAAATGTGCGACTTCATAAACAACAGAGCAATAGACGTGTGACCCCAAGTAAGCTCCAAAACATGACACACAGTGCGTCCGTCAGCTTGACGCGAACTGCAATCCATGAAGGTGCTGCTGCTGCTAGAAGTGGACAACGTTCGCCAGCCATTTGCAGCTCCAATCGCAAGTTGGTCACTAAGAATTTACCAATACTTATTTAAAGTGAATGTAAATTTTTCTTTTATTACTTATATTTTCACTGCAATTGTTTTGTTTCTCTCTGTCTAAATAAGATCAGTTTTATGTTGTGTCTTTCGAGTCAAACTTTATTTTTATTGGGATCTTTGGACCGATTTTTGGATGACTTTATCAATAAGCTTTTTGCTAATTTAAGTTTTTAAAAAACATCTTGTTATATTTTCTTCTTTTTTTTTGTAAACTATAATATTTGATAGAAATTGATGTGAAAAATGTTGTCTTAAATATTTAATGAGGTTAAAACAGCAAACTTTTCTTTTTAAACAATTTTATTTAAAATGTTCAATAAATTTTTTAAACCCTTAACGTTTCTATATAGCCTCAGTATAGTTTTGTACTCACTTGTCTAAATCAGACACTTTAATAAAAGAAAAAAATTTAGAAACTTTCAAAATTCGTTTTTAAATTAAGAGTGAAGCGTAATCTAAATTATTTAGTTAATAGTCGGACCTCAACGTTTTACATGAATTACTTTGTACCAAAGTGATCATAAGCGCCGCTTTGTATCGAAAGATGAAGAAGTAAAACATGATTGCACATGCGTTGGGCGGTCAATTCCGCTTATCATGTACTATTACTAACAAGAAAAAATTTCAGTATGGTCTTGTTTATAAATTATGATGATATATATTAATTGAATCTAAAAGAGTTCGCCCAAAAAATTATTAAAACCAAGGATTTGATTTCCTGAAGTTGACGCACACGAACACCAATTTTTGAACACTAGGTTCCAAAAAAACCCACACGAACATCATTCGGGTCACATCCGGACATCTTCGGGTTAGAGCAACCACATCCTTTTTTAACCTCAACAATAAAAAGGGCGTAACTTAGTCCACAAAAAAATCTTTTTTCAGTGTAGCGCATTCTAAAAATCACTACTACCGGCATCATGCAGAGAAAATGTATAAACGGCACATTGGCTCTGAACATACGCTTATTACCTACTAATCTAATATTAACTGCCATTTTGACTGGTGTGTGTTTTGCTCTTTTTGTCTTCAATTTTCTTTCCTTTCCTTTAAATTGTTTAAGAATATTTTGTATTATTTTACTTCGTTATTGCAGCTATGATGGCCATTATAATCTACTGCAATGTACCTTAGTGGCTTCGAGGTTACATAAGCGTCAATTATTAAATAATATAATATATATGCACATTCCAAAGTTTTTTCTTGTCGAAAAATGTCTCGTTATATCAGCAAACTTAAATGAAAAGTTGTTCATGAGTGCGAAAATCAGTTTAAAACGTTTTTTCCTGATTTCAATTTCTAGCATCTTTCGAGCAATGTAGGAAAAGTTAAAACCGTTGGCATAAAAGTATCTCAATCAAAATCATTCCTTTAGTCCCAGGAAAAGACACGTGGAAGACGTTTAAGTACTTTTGTTAATCCAGTAAGATATGGGATTTTAAAGGGAACACAATCCCTACATAGCCTCAGTATATTATATAATTTTCTTAAAGATTGAATTTTCTTTCTCTGCGCATAATTATACTTCCTAAAATTCATTTTGGAGTTCAGCATCTTGTATGTCTTCTCTCTACTTTTATGTATTGATGTACGCAGGTACGCACGCATTTTTTGTTTTGTTTTTTGCTGTGCTTTCACAGAAACTGCTGGGCTATTCCAGCAGTCTGCATGATTCGCCCGCTATGAGGCCGACGTCCTAAAACTATCACACACATAAACACTTCGCCAATCATTCACGTCCGCGGAATCATCTTGCACGTGGGTTACTTTGTGGAGGATAATTGCAATTAGTGCCCTTCGAACAGTGAGATCATAGGGGGAATGCTCTATCTGCTCTTCTCCGAATATCTGTCTTTCTTATTTCTTGGAGCGCCTTGGTCACGAAATCGTTGACTGTGTGCCGTGTTTTAGGCCACGATCTCTATTGTGTTATACGGACGATAGCTACCTTGACCATATGCCATGGATTTCGGACAATTGAAAATCGCACGCTCCACATCTTCCTTTGCGTCTACACAGCTTAAGCATATTGACGGACTATCATACCCGAATCGATACAGTTGACTTCGTAAGGTACCACGTCCAGTTAGAAACTGGAGATAATGGCTTACGTCAATTTGCCGCCTTCCGATCCATTTCGTTACGTCAGGATGAGCGAGAACATCCATCTATCTTTCGTTGCAGCTGCCCATCAGTGATAACAAGCGCTTCGCTTCGTTTCGTTTCGTTTCGTTTCGTCGATGCGACGCCTTTCACTCGACAGGATATCATTAGGGCTGGCTTTTCTAAAATCGTTCGGAAGCTGCATATCTGCCTAAGCTCGTTGAGGTGGTATACGCTCGCCATCTTCCTGTAAGTTGCTTTCACAAAAAGAGCTACAATTTTTGATATTAAGGTCCACGAATATTGGCTGATGGTCACTATTTGTGTATTTCTAGCGCAGCTAACGGTTACAGTCTGTGTTCTTTTATATGTCTTGCGTCGACTCAGCATCTTGATGGCCTCCCTCAAGTCCTCCGTATTCGCACACTCCTCTTTCAGCTTAAATAGGAGATACCCCCTTTACGATCTTTGAATTTTAGATTTCACTATCTTCATTATGTTCGCGTAGCAGTCCTGACTGCTTGCAGTCGCGGTTCGCACAAATTAAGTTTAGCGAGTTCTCACGATGTACCTGAAGATCCCGAAGTAAATTCAATGAGTAGCAATTTTCTTGATTGTATCAATTGAATTCTTTTATTTATTGAATTGGTTTTGATTGAATAAAAGATATAACTTACATACTAAAATAATAATACGAAATTAAAAGTAGCTTAAATAGAATAAATGCTTATACTGATAATGAAAAATTAATATGCTTACGCCAATAGAAGTATATAAGCTAGGTCACTAAAATTACGTTAAAAATAAATATGCTTACCACGAATAATGATACTAAAATTAAATACGCATACTAAACACATTAGAATATGATTATGTTTTGTTTTCATGAAAATACATCACCGTTTTGCTTATCTAAATTAACGCGTGCACAAATTTTAAAACGGAGAACTCAACATAAGTTATACGTTTGTCTACTTTTAAGCACACATAATGAACTTTATTTGAACATTTCGTGCGCCACGTACAACGCATTTGGTCTTCTATTTTGATAGAGAATATAATAAGACAAAGTGAAAGAGCTACTAAGATATTGATATACATAGGACCAATTTACACAAAGCAAATTTGCTTAAACGCAATCCACTGACTGCTTTACACTTCACGCTCGATCTGCTACGATCAAATTGGTTATTTTTATTTATATGTAGTAAAATATATAATTTGCGTTGTTTTTGTGTCGAACATTTAAAATTTTAGGTTGCTTTGTTTTTAACCAGCTGTTTTCAATATGAACATTTACATTTTTGTTGAAAAGAAGAGAAAAAATTGAAATGAGAGTAATTTGCTACCTATTTCTAGAGAGAAAGAATTTCTTTTTCGTTGTATTAATTGTACTTTAGTTCAAAAAATTATTTTAAAAACGAACTTTATTTTTTATTAATTTTGCACTTTATTAACGTCTGAGTAAGCTGACGCTTGCCATGAAAATTTGCTTCAGCGAGGTAAGCAAGCTATGTGTTTAACTGACTTTCTGTTTTATTTTGTGTGTAAAGCAAAAAGCAAAAACAGTCTGTGTGTGGGGCGCTTTATACAAACTCTATTTTTGTTATGTATAAAATCCCGTCAATTGTATATAAGTTTCAAGGTGCTTTGGTAATATTAACTAACAAAAGCAGACATTTTGTACAAGTCTTTTAAAATGGGTGAAACAAAAGCGAACGAGAAGAATTTAACTAAAACAAATTATATCATTGCAAAATATCAAATTATTTCTTAAAATTCTATAAAAAAAATTATCAAGCGAAAATAAAAAGAACTATACCACCAATAGATATCATATAAAGCTCTGTATATTAATTTATTTTGTAGTATAAAAAGAAACCATGGTATCAAAAAGAAATTTTTCACAAAATGGCAGATCTATGCAACAGCAGCGTCAGATGCCATATAAAAAGCCACCCTTAAAACCACCGATAATGATGAACAGTTATAACCAAATTTTGAATGCCAGTCAAATACCAGATAATCCTGGATATTTGGATTTCAATTTGCCGACGCCACCAGTACCTATTATTAGTAATAGCAACGTGTCTAATACAAATGGAAACAGCACAGATTTCACCGAAAATGGCATGGGATCTGGAGCTGCGGCTCAGAAAAAAAAAAACAGCAAAAGCAAACAAAAGAGTAGGCAACAGCAGCAACAATTGCAGCCATTAAGGCAAGCGCAACAGCATGTTGCGCAGCAAAATGGCGGATGGAAGAACAAAAATCAACAGTTGCATAGGGCCAATCATCAACGTTTTAATGGATCCGGGCCGGTAACGGGAATTAGATTTCCAGTGCAACGAAATTTTCCGCCCAATCAACGATTGGGGGGTAATCGCAGAGGGCGCATGATGCCGCCGATGGTTGGGCAGGGACCACGGGGTATTATGGGTCCTATGGGACCACCAATACCGCCGCCACATGAATTCCAGCCACTCATGCTACCACCGATACCCCCAATGTGCCGGAATGGTCCACCATTGCCACCGCCATTAGGCGGACAGGCACCGCCACCGCCGTTTATGCGACGAGGCGCTCGCCCTTTGCCACCGCCACCACTTGCAATGCCATCCATGATGCCGGCGTGCATGCAACGTAATATACCACAATCTGCACCCCTGAACGGTGCCGGAATATCCGCAAAAATTAAGAAAATCAAAATTGCTAAAAAAGTGACTAAAGGGAAAAGTACCATTAAAACGCTAAAGAATTTAATCAACCAATATCCCATTGATAAGCCTTGGGTAACGGATTCAATACGGGATGAATACAATAAGAAAATCGATTTAGAAGATCGTCTTAAAGGCAATAAAGACGATGAACTATTTGCTCAATTTAAAGTTCAACGTGATAAATTTGTCGGGCTTTATGAAACTGCGCGTGAAGAGTATTTCAAGAAAGAGGCTGCAGCAGTTAAAGCTAAGGTAATTTAATTGTTAGCATGTACATAATTATATATATGTATAATAATAAGAATCCTAAATGTATAATACATCTATACATGTGTATTAGAGTAGGAGAATTTTCTAAAACTTAAAGAAAATATATGACTGACTACAAAAAGTAAGAAGGATTCACTGAATGACTCCGGAAGTATAAAACGGAAATTAATCATTACTGTTCCTTTAATCAAATATACGCATACTTGTAGTTGTATTAACAACTTATTGAGATGATTGGAAGTGAATTTATATATATATATAAATATAGGGAATTCAAACTCCCCATATGTTTGTGTTAAAATACCTTTTGTTAAGCTAACGAGTTATATGCAACAAATATGGAGTCATAAGGCAATCGGAAAAAATTAGTAATCGATTTAGGAGGAAAGTAACTTGCTAAACGTAAGAAAGTTATCAGCATGGAGTGGCTAAAAGGTTTTTTTTGTCAGCGTCTCTATCCCAATTAAATCGTTTATTATCGACCAATTTCTTCGCGCTTCCTTAACGTTAATTATTGAATAAAAACTGTGCAGCTATGAAATACTTCCATGATAATAGGAAGTTACCAGCAATGCTAAAAGCACTACAAATATAGAGTTTTGAAACCTACAAAAGAAAATAACGTTGTTAGGGAGAGAGGGTTGTAGCAAAATTTCGTAGTCTCAATACTTTATCTCGTACATACATCTCTAATTACAATAATAAACAAGTTAATAGGAGTCTATCATATTTCGGAAACCTTGTATAACGCTCGGACTTTATATATGCGATGGGTTTTATTTAAAAACAATTCAACTAGATATGGAGTATACATTTTTAAAGCATCTAAATAACAAAAGTGGTTTAATACGAAGCATAATGAATAAAATCACTTCTACAGTACTATTCTTCTCTAGGCAGGGAAAAAATTTACTTAAAATTTTGTGTAGTTAATGTTTATCTTCGTAGTAAGCCACAGAGAACGATGGAATGATCTCTTTTGAAAATAGTCGTAATAGGCAATACATACACGAGAAGTGCGTTACATTCAAATTTGTGATTACTGATGAAATACACTTCACGTAGACCACTAGCGGTTGTACCAAAAGTTAGCTTTGATGCATAAGTGCGTGTGAAGCATATTGTGTTCTGCAAGAAAACACGATATGCTACGTTTGTATTCTTTACCTAGAAGGCTCGCCGTTGCCATAACAATCACTATGATGTGTACCACCGTCCACGAGAGAACGCGTGCAAAAACTATCTGTGAGTGGAAATCTCGGCAAACAGGTTAGGTAGCCTCCGTTTTCGTTTGCAATATAGTCACTAGTAACATTATTGTATGTATCCAAAAATATGGTGACAATATACAATCAATTTTCTTTTCTCGCGGTACGTACGTTCCTTCGAAAACTGTTAAAAAAAAAGAAAAACATAAAAAACACATGCAACATAGATTAAATTGGGGGATATGTTCCACATCTTAAACAAATCGTGCAAGATAAAAAAAACTTTAAATATTTTCCCCAAAACCGTGCAAAAAAGGAATAATGCAGTTTATCTTACTTATTTGTGAAACAAAAGCAATTAATTTTTGTGATTATCAAATATGAAGTCCGTAAGTAAGTACAATATGTAAACACATGTAAATTAAAGCTGGGAATAAAAATCAATTTCCCAACTATTCATCGCTACTTGATAACAAGCACGAATTTTTATTAAGCATCGCATCAAAAATGCTATGATCAGTTGATATGTCAGATATGTCTAGCTCAACTGCCGTGTTTGATCCAAAACTGAAGGGATAAAAAATTTTTTTATTTTTCCAAAAAAAAATTGGTGTAAGAAAATGTATTTGCTCCTATTGATAAGCCATCTTATTTTAAAACCGTGCAAAACAGGGCCTTAAAAAAAGAATTCGGTATATATCGTTTCTATTTTTCCATTTGCAGTATACATATCGATTAAAAGCATTTCAGCAGCTTATGTGAACTCACTCACTCATTTTTGAACATTTTTCATTCAAATTTTTTTACTTGCACTCAATTTTTGTAATAATCTTGATGGCAATATTCCTTTTTTTCTCTTATTAATACGCTTTGTTGGATTGAACAAATCGGTTGCTGCTCGTTCAACAGCTGTCATATCAATTAAAAAAATGGAAACTCTATTCTTCATGACAATGCTTATAATAATATTTTAGGCTCTTATCAAAATTTTGATGCAGTTATAACGCTGGTGCTAAAACTAGTTCTGCAGAGCTGAAAGAATTATTAACCGATCGCATAAAGAAAAGTTTTACTCACGTTCGATCTCATTTAAGATCGGGTGCAAATCATATGAATTTTTTCTGGATCTCCTTTGCGAAAAAAAGTATTAATACGTACGTAATTCATTTATTCAATTAAATTCCGCTACAGAACAAGTTATTAGCCGAATAGCCAAGCTACACAATAACTTAATGGTAGTAGGGGGCAAAACAATAAACAAAAAAATAAGATCAATTTATATTATTCTCCAGAATTCTGAGAGGCGAAAAATGCGACAAAAAAGGTGATTGTAAATGAAGGATAATGAATCGTCAACTTATTCATAGCGTACGTCCCAAGTCAATGCCACCTAAAAAGTTCCTAACTTTGACGTAATTCGTTTTAGCAAATAAATGTTGATCACTATTGATTGATCGCTCGGTTACACGATCCATTGTCAGATAGACAATTTACGGTCAGCAACAACGCCGGATGATGCCTGTCTTCACGCAAAATAAAGGGATCAGTTCGAGATAAAGATATATAAGAATTCATGGTCAGGTTTCTGTAAATGCCACGACAAGATAATGAGAATGAACGGAATTTACAAACGTATTGCGGAATTTCGAATTAAAGCCACGGACATTTTGATACAGTATTTTCAGCAAATGCACGCTACTTTTTAGTTTTTTGCTTGCTGAACCGACTGCTCTAATATCATCGAAACGATATTGCTTTGATGGCGTACAATTTCTTTAATAAAAATGCCCTGAGGCCAAAACTGCAATCATATCTAAAGTAGTTCTAAACTTTCAGAAATTTTAATGCATCGTCCGAAATAAGAATTCAGAAACCGAATGCAAAAAGAAATTGATTTACCAGTGACAAGTTTAACGAAATTCGTATTGATGGGACCGATAAGTGGTCGTTCGCACACATGAACCGTTGTGGTATCTTTAATAAGTCTAAACCGGTAATTAATTGGTTATACCACCGATGCGTCTCGCGAATTCGTTCCATTATCACTCCCGTGTTTGACTTTGGTATCTTTATTAATTTAACTTAAAACTTTTTGCAAATTTTCCTTTGATAAGGAAGACAAACAATTAAAGAATTTAATTCACTTATTTAGTGTATATAAGGGATAATGATATCGGAATCGGACGGATTATCTCATATGTTGATAAAATGTAATACATTTCTGCTGATTGCCTTTGGCTATTCGACTTTTACCTAAATCTTAACTTAGCTACAGTTAGTCATCATACGAATTACGCAATATAATCTACTATCGTTTTACCGTAACAATTTTATATACGTTAGAAACGTAAGATTGAAGTTTCGCTAATAATCGATTTTTAATGCTTCATATATATGATTGATTCGGTTTATTTTTAATAATATGAACTTAGGCGTGGAGAGCATTCATATGATATTTGAAACTGTGAAAAGTCGGCTCTCCTCTACTTGTCTAAGTCAGTGGCGTGGAAGAGTTGCTTAATTAAAGTTAATGGGGGAACGAAATTTTTCGCACAAGGTCACAAAAACTATGGCGGAAGAGAACAAAATTCATTGTTTTTCCTTATTACCTGTGAACGATATGAGCGGTTCAGCAACAGTAATGCGTACCCGTTTTGCGTACCCGTTTGCGAACAATGACTTGAACAAATTTTTATCGATAAAGTGCGCTTTGGAAAAGGACTGCGAAATGCTTTTCCATCAAGTTAATCTAATATTTTGGTTACATAATTAATCGGCTTCGTTGTTGCTAAGACGAATATATACGCTTAATAGAAACAATAATGTTTTTTTCTTCTTTTTTTCATTTATCTCTATTTCCTTTACCTTATCCTATCTGAGGAAATGTGCATTTTCTTTGAATTCTTATTAGAAGCTTCAATCTTATAAAACCGTCCAAAGAATTTTTTCATCCAATTTCATCATATATATTTATATATATATATATATGTACGTATATATATATTATTTAGTAATATATATATTATTTAGTTTTTTATTGTTATTATTATATTAAATAATTTGTTTTTTTTCTTATCTGTATATATTTTTGATGTATTGATTTTTAGTATATGTATAATGAAAGGGTCCTTTGATAAATTGATAAATCGTTGTACATGCATAAATACATATGAGAAGAATACACGAATTAATTATTTGATTAATGATCGGTGAATTTATCGTATCTGTTTACATGAATAAATGATAACAACAATCGACAGACATTGCATTAGAAAAATAATAATAAATAAAAGTAGTAATGGTAATGAATGGTAATAGTAATAACAACATTGCTATTATCATTATTATTATTTATTTATTTATTTATTTTTTAAATTACTGTGAGCGTTGTTGTTGTTGTGTGCGAAGATGAGTCTTATTTTTCAATGGTATTGATAATAATTTCTTTTGAATATGAATTTTTACAGGATACAAAAGCTAAACAAACAAACAATGATAACAGAGCCAAAAAGGACGATAAAAATAAAAATATCTAAATATATATATATACATGTTTATATATATATATTTATTTATATATATATCTATGTATATATACATTTTGAGATTTGAGCAGAGATAATTAGCAAGAAAGAAAAGAAAAGAAAGAAATTCATAAAAACCACTGATATCTTCATTCAAAGCTCTAATCAAGCAAGCTGCTGGCATAGAAGTATTGCTAGAAGATAATTAATATTAATTAATTTCTAATATATATATTTATATATATAATAGACATAAAACAAAGTAAAACTATTTTTATGACATAAAAGTAAATTGAAATCAAACTCTATATATATGGAAGAAAAGCCCAGAGAATATTCATAAATTTTTCTAATAAAAACTAAGAGAAAGAAAAGAGAGAGAGAGAGAGAGAGGTTAACTCTTTACAAAAACATCACATCATATGTGCAAAATCGAGCATTTGGGTTCATTGCGGGAGGTGTGTCGACCTTGCGCTTCGCGCGCGGAACGGGGGACGGGTGATGGTAACTTCATCAACGAGACATGCATACATATATTATTAAAATTTTTCAAATTATTTACCAAACGAAACGAAAATCACATTTTCATGGGAATCACATGGGATGAGACGGGAATTCAAGACACAAGAAACTTAACCCAAAATGCTCCATTTTGTTGCACGTTGAAATCCGTGAAATTCGTTTCATATGAAAAAAAAAAAAGAGTTAAACTAATCTCTAGTTTAGTCAGAGTCTCGCAACTGTATGAAATCTCTGCGCTAAACTATACAATTATATGAGCAAAACATAAAGCACTAATCAAATGAATAGCATTCGAATCTCGTCAACGTTCGGTATGTACGAATTTTTTTCGAAAATTCACATTGAGATTTTTGAACTGTAATGTTTTCAATTCGCTTACAAACTTTTAATAATTAAATAGTGACAACGACAATCGATTTAGGAGAGGAAAAACGAAACGGAACGAAACGAAACGAAACGAAATGAAATGCAAGTTTTTTTTATTAAATACTTAATAGGGGCGAGCGCGAGGAGATTCGAATGTTTATTAAACCACCAAAATATTTGCATTTTGTTCATATATGTATGATGTACTTATTGTTTTTAAACAATTCATACAATACTAAAATTAACTTAAAGAAGATCACTTGTTTTGCAAATCCTTATCAAAATGTAATAATTTTATAAACAAATAATAATAATATATATGTTGTCTTAACTGTAAATTTATATTTTTTCGATGAATCCATACCTAATATACAACAATAACATATATCAAGATGAACATGAAGGTGAAAAGAACAGCATTTGGCTGAAATATTTATATTATTATTATTATTATTATTATAATAACATTAACTGAAATGAATATTCAACAATATTTAGTAAAAGTTTAACTCTAAGAAAGAATGAATGAAGGAAAGAAAGAAAGCAAAACCTTTTTTGTGAAATATTTGCTCTACAAAATTTAATAATAAATTGTTAGTAAATCAAAAAAGAAAAAAAAAATTCTTTTATTATTCAAAGTCCTATCTACCTTCAATAACGTGAAAATGTTTGTTTGCCTTTTTATAAAACAAAACACAAATATTTATACATGCACAACATGCAAACACACACACACACGCGCGCGCGCGCACATATGTATATATATGAGCAATATATTGACAGTTCGTTTCGCAGTCGAATTATATCGAGCCTAGTAATTTCAGTCAATGCATTAATTAGTAGATGGCTCGAATAAGTCACTATTTACATAATATATATATATATATATATGTGTGTGTGTGTGTCAATCAAGTTTGTATATCTGTCGAGACGAAACCAACGTTTTGTTCATATATTAGGTGTTTGCAAAAATTTTGATCAGCGACTTTTACAGTCTTTCAACACATTAAAAACACGGAAATATACCAGTAACAGGTGCATTCGATAGTTTTGACCTTCCTCTACTTAAAATAATAGTTTCCCATTTAATATTATTGATTTATTCATCTTATGCCCGCGTCAAATATGGACCGCTAAAAAAATTCTTCTTCCTCCAAATTCATTACTTTTGTTATTTATTTGAAGAAATCTGCCATCGAACACGTTCAGAGGGTTATTTATGGTGATGCTGCTCCCATATCATATCCCAATTATTGGTTTTGGCGTCAACGACTTAAAAGCGACGAGACGTATTGACTGAAAATACCATTTGTTGATCGGTGTGTGCAAGAGTTGTCCAGGATAAGCTGCCCCCAACTCGAATGGCGAGTTCTGTCACATCCAGTGTACTCACCAGACTCACTGGCGTCGCCTGATTATCACTTGTCCAGATCGGTGCAGCATCGCTTGGGTGGTATACGTAAAGTCCGCAAAGTTGAAGAAGTGCGAAAATGGGTCGGTGAGTGAAACGTTGCCAAACCAATATAAGTTCTTTCGATATGATATCGCCGTGTTGTCAAAAATATTGAAAAATTATTGTAAAAAATTATGGAAATTAATTTGATTAATACGCACAGACTCTGCCAATTTTCCATAATAAATGATTTTTTCACGTGAAAAAATGATCAAAACTCTTGCAAACACCTAATATAATCATTTTGGGTTTTGAGAAAATTTGGAATTTACACACATCAATACGAATTGTCGTTTTTAATTTTGAAAAATGATCGCTCAAACGTACCGTAATTGAGTCTCTTCCTCCTTATCACACGCAGTTCCCTTTCGTAGCGTAAATGAGGAAAGAAAAAAAGACCTTGAAATTCACACTTTTTTAAACATGTATTTATGCATACATATTTCTCATCAATCATCATCCATCATACATGTATATATTCGTTTGTTTTTTTTTATTTTTTTTTTTTATTTTTACTACTTGAACTCCTCTTCTTTCCTCTCCTTTCCTTTTAAGGACAGACTTTAACTGACTATGCGTTTGTTAAAGATATTTGTAATATATTTTGTATCTTTTCTTTATCATAAAATTGGTGATTAAAAATGGGTTTTAAAAAAAAAAAAAAAAAAAAAAAAAACAGCAACAACAACAACACTAACAACAAGAAATTCTTATAACCTTTTATAATCGATCGTTGTACATTATCTCAATAACAATTCCATCCTTGAATTTTTGTCTATTAAAAGTTGACTTTTTAGTTTCATCGTATTGTGTTACCGTCTCTTATACAAAAATACTTATATTAATATTTTTATTCTTGTTCTTGCGTTTCGAAAAGAGTTTTCGAATATAACATTTTTGTAATGAAAAGCAATTAATTTGCGTCACTTTTTCATATGAATGAATAAAAAATGAATTGTTTTCATTTAAAAAATTTGATTTCATTGCATATACATTTTTTTTTTTGCTTTCATTTCACTTAACCATAAATATTTCCTCCGCTTCAATTTATGATTTATTTCTGCAAACATATCAATAAAAATTATTCCTTCTATTAAAAGAAAAATTACAGAGTTTATTATTGCCGTTTACAGTTCAAAGTAAGTATCTACAAACATATACAGACATATATATATATATATATATATATATATATATATATATATATATCTCGATCTGCTTATATAAAGAGAGGAGGAGCAGTTTGGCGACAGAACTAATATATAACTAATTAGTTATAATTATACTCTATACCACTCTCTAGTATAGGACATATTAAGATTGTATTGACGGGTATGTAATACCCGAAACGGTTCAAGATATAACCGCCTTCTATTATACCGCTTGTCTGTCGGTGTAAACTTTGTGTTCAACACAAATAGGTCGCAATTGGCTACACTGACGTGCTTTGCCAACAAAGAGCGCTTTTAATCATGGTTCCGATCGATTCACTTATTCCACTATCTTCAATATAACGCCCCAGGTTGGAAGACCGCCGCTATTTTCTAATTGCTGTAATTGCTATAATACACACACACTTGATTTCATGGTGAAAATTAGTTCTTTGGGATTTTGGACCACGTAGATCTATTTTTTGGATATTATCGCATGTAAGAATTCTCAGGGAATGTAAAGCCTTATATGCCAAAAGGCGATATTTGTCATAATTTAATGACGAAAACTTGTCCATAGTAGTAGTTTGGCATAGAAAATTAAGCCGACCATATTTGAAACACATGGTTCTATATCTTGAGCCCCATTCCACATAAGATTTCCCATGAATGGTAAGTCGATCAGAGGAAGGTTTAATTTTTAATATTTTATGATGTTGAATTGAATGGATTTTGGATCACATAAATCTATTTTTTTAAGCCCCAAAACGTATAGGGGTTATCATGAAAAGCAAGCTCGTATACGAAAAAAACGTCTAATTTCTCCCTTTTTTATGAAAGAAACTGAAAAATAATAAAACTTTTCGGAATTTAAATTTGACAAATTAGTGTCACATCGTATGATGTTTTGGATGTCCTCCAATATGTGTGCAATTTTTTGTGAATTATTACCGAAACGAGCACGAGAACTGTGCTAGATTAAGTAAGGCTATAATGTTCTTACTTGCTTTCTTAAAAGCTGTGCTGAGTAGAGACAGGACTTCGCCGTGTTCTTCAATGAGAAATTACTTTCAATTCTCATTATCCACTAAAAAAGGCACATGCAACAGAACAAAATACAAAAGAAATAATAACTAAAAAAACTATTACTATAGTTTAGATTAATTTTTCTCAAGGCGAGAAAGTTTGCTTTATTTCAATCGATTTTTATAGAGATTTAATTGTCAATAGTTTACGATAGCAGATGTGTAAATACCGAGCGATCACTGAAGGTGTCGCGGTATTTCAGTCCTAAGCTTTGTTAGCTTTAGTTAATGTCCGAGGATTGGCTATAACCGTTACCAGCGAGATAAGGCATTCCTTCTTTAAGTTATAAGGCTATACACTTCTCTACACTTATTAGCTTAGAGGTAGCGCTTTGATTTATTTGCATTCGGACACGTTTTTAATCGTACGTGAACAAACGCCAGACGTACCTTCCCGTGCTCAAGTCTGAATTCACTATGAGACACATGCATAGCCTTTGCTTACTCTCGAATTTTACCTCAAAGGACGTTCCCAGTACTATTTGATGAACTTGGGCGTAACCGACGTGAACGCTCACCGCCATTCGACCGAGCAAGGCCCCGTTCTAACTTAGCTACTCGAAATTTTACCACGCTAAATGACTTTGCATACTCCCAGTAGACAGCATCTAAGTCATTAAAATTTATTTAGACGTCTTAATGACATTAATGATATTTTCGATAGTCACAGACACATTGATTGACTTAAACAGTAACTGTGCGTTCAATGTCGCTGAAGCTTTGACGAGTCGTTCATAAATATATTCTTCAAGTTTTTGTTGATCTGTGGCGCCGTTATTTTCACGTCCAGATGGGAAATCTAAATAAATATTGTTTTGGCTGTTCAAATACGCTCTTCCCAGTCATTTACATTCCACATTTGCCCCTATGTCTAAAACGAAAAAAAAAACTGCGCATGTCGTCCCAATTTTGAAAATGCCAATTTTCATGTTCAGGCCCGACAATGAATATGAAAGCATAAAAGGCCCTTCTATTTACCTAACTTATATAAACATTCATTATATAAAAGTCAACATGCCACGTACTAAACCAATAATCAGTGCGCTTCAATTATGTCGTCTTTCACTAAATCAGGCATTTGGGAAAACACATCTCGAAACACACACATTCATATTAGCGAAAATATTTCCTTATAAAAAATACAAAGTTCGCAAATTGAAATTAAACAAGTAACCAGCAGGTCACCTCTCAAGCTCGTTCAAGCTAAGTTGCCAAGTAAACAAAGACTGCTTATAGAACTATTATTATTATTATTATTATAATTTTAGACTAATGAAATAAATTCTTAGACTAAAAAAAGACATTGAGCACTAGTAACACAGGCTATCGGCTCTAATTTAAATAAATGGACATTAGATAATAAGCTTAGTAGTATTAAAAAAGTAATAAATTGAATTGATATTCTGTTCTGAAGCTGATTGTAGAATGTCCAAAGGGTTAATCGTTCCAAATGCAATACTTCTAGCCAAGCAAAAGTTAAGGCAGTCGCAGAGAATGTGCTTTATGGTGAGAGTTTGTCCACAATTGCATATTGGGGAGGAAGACTTCTTCAAGATCCATCGGTGAGTTGCAATTGTATGACCAAGGCGAATTCTCGAAAATGTTTGGATCTTGGTTTTCTCAACATTTGTTGGATATAAAGGTAGAGTTAATTGAGGGTTAATGGAAGGGTAGTGTTGGTGATGGTATTGTAAATTTTCTTCTGCAATTTACTCTTTAACTTTTCTTCCAATGTATCTTTGAAGATCCAACTTTTCTATGACATCATCCATAATTAGAGGAGCAGAAGCAGCATCCTTTGCCGCTCGATCAGCCTGCTCATTTCCCAATAAACCGATGTGACTTGGTACCCATAACATTTTAATTTTTCCCTCGGGTGTTGTAATTATATTCCTTAATATGTTGATGGTGCTCCATCTCGAAGTCAAAGGATTCCGAATAACTTGTAATACAGACAAACTGTCGGTAACAATGACGGTTTTGAGTTTGTTTTTATGGACAAGGTTCGCAGCGTGAAGGATAGCTCTGGCTTCGGTTGTGAACGTTGAAGTACTTTCATGAAATATGTGGTTGAGAAGAACTCGTCCTGTAGCATCAACCACGGCACAAGCAGGAGGCAGACCAGAAGATTTAGAGCCGTCTGTGTATAAAAGATTCCAACCAGTACTTTCCAATATTTGGGTTTTTCAAGCTATTAGATTCCTGAAGACATAATTTGGAGCATTTTCTTTCTTGTGCATAGACAGCGAAATGTCAAAAGAGCAGTCTTTCAAAATACATGGAGATTTAACACCAAAAGAGCGGAAAATTTTTAAGGGAATGTTCAATTCCTTTGCGACGTACAAACAATAGTCAATTGCAGATGGTGACTTTGGAATTTTTTTCGCCATAATAATATTTCTCACGTCATCGCCGAGAATAGATTTGTTTGAATTAAGAAGCTTGGGGACTATTTTGGCTTTTAACTATTTTACAATATGTAGAATAAAATGTACAATATATGGCTATGACGAGTTTGCCTTCTGTTTTATAACTGATTCGGTGTGATTTTAATTTGGATCTAACATGAGCTCGGGGTTCACCCACTGGTTAAAGTCATTTTCCTTTACATCGAATTTAAGTGCTTCGTGTTTCAAAGTGGTGCCGTTTTTATGGCCAGTCTTCGCAATAGGCGCAACTTTATCATAACCGATATGCGGATTTAGAGCTGTAACTAGAATCAAAGACTCATTCACAAGCTTCAAAATATTGGCTTTATTTGCTTTAATGTCTTTTAAGCAATTCTTGTTGAGAGTGCTGTCAGCTACGAGAGAAGACGATATTTTTCTGAATTTGAGAGAAAATGATTTTATTTTGTTTACTTACATAACAAGCGAATCGAACGCAAGACGTTAGATACAATGATTGGTTTAAAAACATTTGATTGAAAATGACCGTTTGAACCGCCTACAGTAACGGCCACTAGGTTGCCCATCATTTGAGCGCAAATCATGGTTAAAGATTCACATTGTGTGCGATTACCTTTACCCGGCATAATAGAACTACCAGGCTCGTTTTCGGATAACCATAGTTCACCTAAGCCCCATCGAGGCCCCGAACCCCTTTCCAACTTTGCCAAATTTGCCAAAGGCCATAGTATTTGCAGGGGGAGGCCTGTACATATTCATTTGATTTTTCTCATTTTTTGAAATGTTGATATATTGACAATAAAACTATTCTCTTTTACTGCGTTTTGATGGGATTTTAATGATTTCTTTATTGATTTATCGAAAACTTTTCGGCTTAAATAAAAAATTGATAAAATATATCTGACTTTTTAGGATTTGAATTTATTTGGGGCCCAACATATCTTCAGGTTTAACCCATTTATTAAATTGCTCTTCGGTAAGGAAACCTAATTTAATGGCTTCTTCTTTCAGAGTAGTGCCATTCTTATGGGCAGTCTTGGCTATTTTGGCTGCCTTATCGTAGCCAATGTGAGGATTTAAAGCGGTAACCAACATTAATGATTCATTCATAATCTTACTAATACGATCTGTATTGGCTTTAATGCCCTGCACGCAATTGGCCGTAAAGGTGCGGCTGCCATCGGCTAAAAATTGAAATTAAAAAATTTCTAAATTTTTTTGTTAAACGCTTAATAACGAAAACTTACACAATAAACGTATGGAACGCAGAACATTGGATACTACCAACGGCTTGAAAACATTCAATTCAAAATGTCCATTTGAGCCGCCCACAGTAACGGCTACCTGATTACCCATTACCTGAGCAGCTAACATAGTTAACGATTCACATTGTGTAGGATTTACTTTACCCGGCATAATAGAACTACCGGGCTCGTTTTCGGGCAGCATAAGTTCACCCAAGCCACAACGAGGACCGGAACCGAGAAAGCGTATATCATTACCGATTTTCATTAAACTGACTGCTATAGTATTTAGAACGCCATGAACTTCAACCATAGCGTCCCGAGCAGCTAAAGCCTCGAATTTATTGGGTGCTGTTACAAACGGTAAACCAGTCAATTGGGCAATTTTGGACGCGCATTTCTCAGCGAAGCCCACACGAGTATTCAAGCCGGTACCCACTGCCGTGCCGCCTAAGGCCAATTCGTAGACTCGTGGCAAGCAAGCGTCAATGCGATCTAATGCATATACCATTTGCTGCGTATAGCCGCTGAATTCTTGTCCCAAAGTCAACGGTACTGCATCCATAGTATGGGTGCGACCGATTTTAATAATACTCTTGAATTCTTGGGATTTGGCTTTCAAAGCATCATGTAAGATTTTAATGGCAGGTTTCAAATTGTTATTCAACTCGAGAGCAACGGAAATGTGTATGGCAGTGGGGAAGGTGTCATTCGAACTTTGCGATTTATTTACATGATCGTTGGGATGAACGGGATCTTTGGAGCCCAGTTTACCGCCCATAAGCTCAATAGCACGGTTGCTGATAACCTAAATACAAAAAAAAAAAAAAATACAAAAAATATTAACAAAGAACAAGCAGGAAAATTATATTTGGCCGTAAGTAAATCTTTTATACCCCACATCCATATACTTTGCAAAAAAAAAAAAGAGAAAAAGAATAAAATGTAAATCATGAAATTTCTTTACTCTGTTGTACTGAGTCAAGCGTCAGTTTATCGGTAATAGGCAAATGAGAAAGAATTCTTTCAATGCCGAAAACGGAGGCCTTCTTAATTTACATTGTACCGTAAGCATGTTTCTTTTTCAGCGATTTGGTCCAATTTCGGTACTAACTTGAGTACAAAAATTTCCGGCACTGCAGCAGTTTTTGCGTATATGATGGAAACGCACATAGACAGAAGGACAAACCGGGTTCCGGGTGTTTGCAAACATTTTGCACATATCTTCAATCTTTGGCAATTATGATAAAATCGTATCGCCGCGAACATATTAGGTACTCTATGAATGGTGTAAACTAATTTATTTTGTATTTGTACGAAATTGAGAGAAAATTATTTGGAAAAAATTTGAAATATGGGTTTTTGGGAATCCGAAAAAAAGCTTTCGAAAATCATTAAATTTTGAAAAAAATATGATAAACATACTAAAATGACGATAGAAAGGAGTTTTTCATTACGCGCCGAAATATCCAGTTTTTAAAGGACGATGTATGTCTAGTAAGTTGTGCATTGCCTGCATTCCTTGCAGCTTGCAAGCCCTTATTGATCCTATATCATTATAAAAATATTCAAAGATTCGTTTATATGGTCGGTTATAAAGATTGTAAGTAGACGATGGCGCAAAGGAATTCGATCCAATAATTTGCAAACACTGTTACAATTCATAGTGTGTCTTGAAAAAAGGATCAGCTTTCCAAAAGTTGAAAGAAACGTGAAAGAAATGTTTAGTTCTAACCTATAAATAGATTAAAGAAAAAAAAAAGGATGAAAAAACATTACGACTATGGAACGATCCTGGATATGTAGTTCAACTTTAACTTGATTAAGTTAACGATTAACTTGAATATTATTTACATATACCTAACCGCAAGAAAAGTAGCAAATCATGTTCTAGTGGACAAAATTCAATTTACACCCTATCAGTCATTAGCTATTGTTGTTGTTGTTTGTATACTTTCAATTAATATGTAAATTGAATTAATTTCATTTTCCCAGACCTCGAACTAATGTGTGAAATGTATTTGCTTTTTGTCGCTTAACCCGTAAATAGATTTTACAAATCGTTTAATTCTTGTCACGCTACCAAATTTTCGCGATAACACTATATTGTGATGAAACGATAACATACGTACATAATATGTACAAAGGTAATTAAGTAATTCTCACACAACATTTTGTATTAGGTATTTACCTCATTAACGTTCATGTTGCTTTGTGTGCCCGAACCAGTTTGCCAAATGACTAAAGGGAAGTGATCATCATAAAGCTTTCCTGAGATAACATCATCAGCAGCCTTTGATATGGCGTCACTTATTTTGGGATCTAAGCCGTACTCTTTATTAACTTCAGCAGCGGCCTTCTTTAGAATGCCCATAGCTTGTATTACGGGCTTAGGCATGCGTTCGGTAGCCCCGCCAATTGGAAAATTGATCTGGGAACGCATAGTCTGGGCGCCATAATATTTATCGGCCGGCACTTTCAATTCACCGAAGGTATCAGATTCCAAGCGATAATTCTGCATAGCCTGAAAATAACAAAAAAAAAAAATAAATAAATAAAATGAGAAATTATTGCAAAAAAAAAAAAAGAAAAGAATTTCCATTCGAAAATTCAAATTAAAGGTAAGTGTCCGGTTTACTTTATAATTTTACCATTTTGTTGTATAATTTACCGTAAACTAGAATTACAAGTAATGCAAATGCTGCAACAACTAGTCTTTTTCGTATTTTATTTAGCTATTTGTTTATTTTGCGGTGTAAATTTGACTCTAGAGATAAACTTTTTGCTTGTTTATATGTATGTATATATTATATTTATATGAGTGAATTATTATCATTTAAGTATTTTTTTAGTGTTTCAGTTTTTACTCGATCCTCCTCTTGCAATCTATGATTAAAAAGCTTTAATTGTGCTTTTATTTTTCACTTACAACTGACTCGACTTTAAAATGAATACTAGAATGCAATCCGCTTGAGCTACTGTAAATACGTAAGTAAGTAACGCTAGACTATGTCTGAGATGGAAAGAATTTCGTCAGGAGTTTATATAGGCTGAATTTAAAAGAATTTGTCATTTGTCATCTGACCTAATTACACATCGACATCGACTGCACCTTTATATTTAAATACATTTTATCGTGTAAGTCTTAATTGTGCGTATACATGTGCCAACTTAAAGGAAAATAAAGCATTCTTTATAAAATCGAACATTTTTGAAAAAAAGGCTTCTTTTGTGTATACACACACATATATATATATGTGCTATCATACTTAAGATTTATTGTTACCCGTATATAGCGCTATATATTGTGATGATTTATGAATTAAAACGACTGAACGATTAACTTTTTACCAACAATTGCCGTTACGTGCATATGTTATAATATAAACATATGTACATTAAATATAAAAAGTTTTTGTTCTTCATATGTCAAATATTTTCCTAAATAAATTCAAATGTGAAAGCATTTGTAAATTTTCTTGATACGAATCCTTTATTCATGTAGGTTCTCGTAAATATACATATATATTTATATATATATATATATATATATAATTACTTAGTCTATTCACTTTATTACACTAGTTCGATGACTGCCTTTTAATAGAATAAATTTTCTGCTTGTAAGCCATGTGGTAATATATACAAGTGCATTATATGGAATATATAATTAAATGCATTATTTTCGTTTTGCACAGCAACTTTTAAGTACATGCATAGTAGCACCGAGCCAAACTCGTACAGCAAAAAGAATTTATTAATCTTTCTTATTAATTAAATATTATTGGTTGATTTCAGAAATAATTAAAAAAAAACTCTTTAACCTTTTTATAAAGCGAAAGTATAAAATACCACTCATTTCGATGCCAAAGCCCAACTTCTACGCTAATATGAATGTTTGATATGCATACCTTTGGTTTTTTTTTTTTTTTTCATCCATTTTAATCTATTTGGCATACTTTGAACAAGTTTGTTTACTGTCTTGTCCTGAAGTGCTTTCTTCAAGTCATCCTTGGAACTTATACGGTGCTGGAGAGTTTTCCTATTAAGATAGCTCCATAAATTTGTAATACGGTTTATGTGTCGATTATGGATCGGTGTATTCATGAAATGCGGACAATTATATATAGCAATCAGGATCGCGCATTGTAAGCTTTATCCTTAAGGTGAATTTCTTGATAAAAAACACAAAATTTTCGCCAAGATCCAAATTTTTCCATGCGCAAAGGGACAAACTTTCTTTCAAAATATTAAAGCCTATGGGCTAATCTGTCATGTCTTCAATAAAATCTTTATTATCCTTTTTTAAAAAGTGAGACAATCAAACAAATAACATTCAAAAATTTTGCAAAGAAATTTGATTTTAGCAAAATCTCCAAAAACTTTTCGCAGAAAAATCGAAATTAAAAACACTTTTGCCTAATAAACCAAAGCTTCACGAATTTGGCTTTAGCATTGAAATTGGGATTATTATTGTAATACATAAACATAAATTTTGAATATTATATATACATTATGCCATAATACTATAAAAAAATAAAAGGGATTTGTGTTCATACCCAATTTAGTTTTAATTATATACCATAAAGCAAATCTTTTTTTTTTGTGTACGAGTTTGACTTGCTGCTACTGTACGAAAGGCCCCATGCAACCTGTACATGCCAATGTATATATAAATGTTCTGCCCTCCCCAACTCATAAATTTGTCTTGGAATTTATTTTTTGTTTGCGATTCTCCAAACAGAATAGAAGGAATGAAAGAAGAGATTTGGTGCATTCGAGCGGAATTCAAATTGAGTTAAATCATCGAACTCTTATATGAAGACTTAAAAAATGACAGGGGTTTAATCTGAATGGTTTTAAATGAAGAACAAACTAAAATATTTTATTTTGCTTATACGATATTTGTAGACTGTTGCGAAATAAATAAAAGCTATTGATTCTCGGTATTGTCTGTCTAAGCAACTCTGTATAATGTTGATCAATATAATATATACCGTTCGTTTTGCCGCGCTAGACCACGTTATACGCTGAGCCCGATTTTTCTACGAAAAATTTAATAAATTGAAGGCTTTATTTGTTCAATTAATTTAAAAGTCGATGGAAGAAATTTGCTTTTTTCAACTAACTGAAAAGAATATGCAAGAAGTTTGCACGACCATTTGACCGAAGATCATAGAAATGCACATGAAATTAAAATTTGCTCTGGACTATAGTCCATGCACAACAAGTTCATTGGACGATGAAAAGACAAACGTATAAATTCTAATTTAAGGATTATGATTAACATGGATGTCGAGGATTCAGATATGATTAATTAAAACTGCGCACAAATTAATTGAGAGGCCCATAGCATGGCAAATACATGAAAATATATATATTTTTTTTATTTGCAGACTGAGACTTTAAACAATTTATGCAATAGACAGGCATACGAAATACAGGCTGTTTAAGAACTGATGTTGATCAGGAATGCGTGCAATTTACAATATTTTATCATATCCACTACGGAACTTTTCAAACATACCATTTTGCTAGTGATAAAAATAATGCTTCGCTTAGAAAAATTAACTTTTACGTTTGATGGTACAATAGAGAGTGTTGTCGAATTCATATAACATTATGCAATACGCCTACATTGGAATTTGCTGCGCTAAGTTTCTAAATTTAACCATAATGGCAACAAAAAATTAGTAAACATACTTTGACTGTTAACGACTATAAGAATAGTTCTTAATCTTATATGTGAGTTTAATGGATTTTGGGCGTCGCGCAAACGCATCTAGATTTAAGTACACAAGAGAGGATATAAGAATTGGTCTTCATTTGATTTGAATGCCGTGGGTAAGCTAAATTCATTTTTACTAAAAAAAAATTTTATATTACTCTGGGATTACGAATAAATTTGTAATTTCACTTTATTATAATCCTCAATCTAAATTTTGCAAATTCGCAATTATTCCTTAATTATTTATTGCACAACTCTTGCAAAAAACGAAAAACGCACTCCTTAAAACGCTGCTGAACAAAAGCACAATAACCTCCCTTGCTTTCCTTAACTTTGTTAAGGAGTTATTGGCTTTATACGAACAATTCGCCGTGAAATCTTAAGTATTAAATACTTATATGGAAAATTATACTCTACATCATCGTGCTAAGAATTCTCTTAAAAATGTAAACAGAGAACATTGGTTTTGTTGCTTTTTCTTTAGAGGCAAAGCCAAAGCATTCGATTAAGATGGGAAGGGATATTGTTTTTACGGCTAGAGTTAGTGTTTTAGTTTTTGAACCGTAACGCCCAAATTAATTTAAAAATTTGCAAACAATTCCAGTTGGAATTTTACACCGACAAAATTTGTTTTTTTAGGGTATAAAATCTCCGATTAGAATTTTATACCGGCAAAAAATTATTCTCTTGTATTTCAGCACATTTACTCTTATACAACAAAAATTAAAGAGAGTCTGCTTTTTTTTGATACGTTTAGTTGTATATTTGTTATGGATGAAATATGAAATTTCTTAGTAATTGTGCGGCTTAATATTTTGGGACAAGTCCAGATTTATTTCAAGAGAGCTGAGTACTGAGTACTTTTATATATAACAAATGAGATGGATATCAAAGATATTAATATTTTAATATTACATAACTTCTTAGATATATAGAACAGGAACTGTGTTATAAAAGTTCGTTGTTTTGCCAAAAACCAAAAACTTACCAAGGCCGACGTATTAATCCAACATGTTTTACTGTGCTGTTGCACGACGCCGCGCAGCAAAGAACGTTGTATTAATTGAGAAATCATATCTTTTCGGCTTTTTAAACGGCGCAACAGATTCTTTCGGAAATTTCCTCCTGGTATTTATCTTGTGGTCAGACCTCTAAAGTACCAAACTTGCAAACTTATTGGCAAATACAAAACAGCAGTGAAGCTGGTAGGGATGTCGTAAATTAAGTGAGACACAGGGATGCCTCCGAAAAAAGCTTTCAGCAATAAGTGCTGCCAATTTTTGCATTCTTTTTAGAGAGTTTTAGAAAAAGTTGTATCGAGTTGTGCATAAATCTGGTCCAACGTTACACCTACTACTTCAACAATTTGCACATACGTAAAAACATGCGGATAAAACTTGAAAAATCTTAAATATTAGATGCCTTAATAACTTGGTATTAGGTGATGCGTTGCAAATATTTTGGATATTGTTGGTTTTTAGTTACAAGAATAATTATTACGGTTCCTAAAATTCTTTTAGAAAATGATGTGAAAATGGTGAAAATTTATGCCTGTTGCAGTTTTCAATATTAAAAAGTTAAAAAAAAATTTTTTTTGCGATTTGCTTTATTGTGATTTGTGCATATTTAATTTCTGTAGCACGTCAGACGTATTATCATATATCATATGTATGGTTAAAGGATAATCGACATATTTTCAATTTACAGCTGTTTTACTTGTCAATGCAGCTCGAAACAACCAATACTAATGCCAAACGTTTGCTTAATTGTAATTTGACAAGAGTGGGAGAGTATATTTAACAGTTGTTATCCTTACGTGAATCCAAAACACCGATAATCATTAAATAATACGACGCGTAACCAAACGAAAAACGTAAACTGGTTTTGGTGACTCTGGTTTCTCTTATTTGTGACATTTCTGATGCTTCTCTACGTTGTGTATTTCCTTTTAAATCTTTTTTCTGCTACTATCTTTATTACACAAATAGACGTTCTAAGCTTACAATTCATTCTTCTGGGAAATTTATGTGGAGCGGTATATCTTTTTGCCGTTTAAAAAAAAAATCTCCACCTATAGGACGTGCGATTCTATGGCTTTTTGCTGAATTCATCCAAACTACTCCTCTCAACCTCACAACCCCTGGAAAAATTCATCAGAAAAATTTCTTCATCTCCTGTTACTGGTGTATAGGTCTATCAGTTTACAGGCCTTATCTATTCTTTTTCTACAAACCCAAAAAAAAGGGGTTATTCTAATAACAAAGTGTGAACTTATTTTGAGAGATACTATGGAGCGTCCACAAAAAATGCCCAAAGTGGCTAAAGTGAAAAACAAAGCTCCGGCTGAGATACAGATTACTGCTGAGCAGTTGTTGCGTGAGGCTAAGGAACGTGATTTAGAAATTTTGCCACCGCCTCCGAAGCAAAAAATTTCTGATCCCGCTGAGTTAGCAGATTACCAACAACGCAAACGAAAATCATTTGAAGATAATTTGCGTAAAAATCGGATGGTCGTTAGTCATTGGATAAAATATGCTCAATGGGAAGAATCGCAAAGGGAGATACATAGAGCACGATCTATTTGGGAACGCGCTTTAGATAATGATCACCGTAATATTACCATTTGGCTGAAATATGCCGAAATGGAAATGAAAAACAAGCAAATAAATCACGCACGGAATTTATGGGATCGTGCTGTGACTATAATGCCTAGAGTGAATCAATTCTGGTATAAATACACTTACATGGAGGAAATGTTAGAAAATGTGGCTGGTGCTCGGCAAGTGTTTGAACGTTGGATGGAGTGGCAACCGGAAGAACAAGCTTGGCAAACATATGTGAACTTTGAACTGCGCTATAAAGAAATTGACAGGGCAAGAGCGATATATGAACGATTTGTGTATGTGCATCCGGACGTAAAAAATTCGATAAAGTTTGCCCGCTTTGAAGAGACACACGGTTTCATACATAGTGCCCGTCGTGTTTATGAAAAAGCAGTGGAATTTTTTGGCGATGAATTTATTGACGAGCGTTTATTCATTGCTTTCGCTCGTTTTGAAGAAGGCCAAAAGGAGCATGATCGTGCCCGCGTCATATACAAATATGCTTTAGATCACTTGCCTAAAGAAAAAACCAAGGAACTGTATAAAGCCTACACAATACACGAGAAAAAATATGGCGATCGAGCGTGTATGGAAGATGTAATTACGTCAAAGCGTAAATTTCAATATGAGCAAGAAGTGGCGAGTAACCCCCAAAATTATGATGCATGGTTTGATTATCTACGCTTAATTGAAGGTAACGCTCGCATTCGAAAAAAAATGTTTGATAATAATTTTTATTTTGTAGCTGAAGGTGATTATGAAGTTATACGTGAGACTTACGAACGTGCAATCGCTAATGTGCCTCCCGGTAATGAGAAAAATTACTGGCGTCGCTATATTTACCTATGGGTTAATTACGCTTTATTTGAAGAATTGGAAACTGAAGATTTAGAACGTACACGGCAGATTTATAGAACTTGTCTTGAACTTATTCCGCACAAAAAATTTACTTTCAGCAAAATTTGGCTTTTATATGCGCAGTTCGAAATAAGATGTAAGGATTTAAATAAAGCACGCAAGACACTCGGCATGGCTATCGGGATGTGTCCTAGAGACAAACTATTTCGTGGCTATATTGAGTTAGAAATACAGTTAAGAGAGTTTGATCGTTGCAGGCTATTATATGAGAAATTTCTGGAATATGGACCGGAAAATTGTGTAACGTGGATGAAATTTGCGGAATTGGAGAATCTTTTAGGTGATACAGAACGATCGCGTGGCATTTATGAATTGGCTATACAGCAACCGCGTTTAGATATGCCAGAGCTGCTATGGAAAGCTTATATAGATTTTGAAGTATCGCAAGGAGAATCGGAGCTGGCGCGGCAATTGTATGAAAGATTGTTAGAACGCACGCAACATGTAAAAGTATGGATTTCATATGCCAAATTCGAATTAAGCGCCGAAAATCACGAAATTGAAGACGCTGACAAAGAAATGAGCCTAGATTTAGCCCGCAGAGTTTACGAGAGAGCCAATGATACCTTGAGACAAATGGGAGACAAGGAAAGCCGAGTTCTGTTATTGGAAGCTTGGCGGGACTTTGAGAAAGTTTCCGGTACTCCACAGAGTTTAGAGAAAGTCATAGAAAAGATGCCAAGGAGAGTTAAGAAAAGGCAAAAAATTGTTTCGGAGAATGGCGTAGAAGAGGGTTGGGAGGAAGTTTTCGACTATCTATTTCCGGAGGATGAAATGACCCGACCCAATCTTAAACTATTGGCTGCCGCTAAAATGTGGAAAAAAGCGAAATTGAGTGAAACTACAGAAGAACTAAGCAATAAAGATAATTGATGATATTATGGAGCTAAATAATAGGATGCAAATAATATTCGGATATTTGAAATTTATTTAAAGCGCAATAATAGAGTAAATGTAGAGTAAGCGTATTTCATGAGCTAAGAGAGGAAAAAGAAAAGAAAAATATGCTAATTAATTGAAATTTTATGTGCATCGCTTGTTACTAACCAATAGAAATGTTGACAGGTCTACTGGTATATAGGCGCCGGCGTATATGATGGCATATCTCTGCGTGCGCATTAACGTGATGATAAGATTTCGACGAAAAGCTAACGTCTGAGATATCCAGCCGCATTCGTAGAAAGCATCAATTAATGCCAAACTCTGAGCACTCATATAATGACCAAAGTAACAAATTATAAATACTTCCATAGTGACAGCCAAAAAGAAGATAAGTGATAGGATCTGAGCGCCATAGTCACCAGATTCATCTAATAAGTATAAAATATGCAAACCGGCAACACATTGAACTAAGGCGGTGCAGATAAATTGAGCTAAACACGCTTTAGAAAGAATTTTTTGTATCATATCGTAAAGTCTGAAAATAAAATAAGAAATATATAGGATTTGTCAGTGGTTAAACAATTTAGAATGCATTAAGCTAAAGGCAACCATTATGGGGAAATAAAAACTGCTAGTTACCGTTACCACTTATATATTGTAAATTTTTGTGGGTTTTAATCGCTTTGAAATATCTCGGAACTACGTTTCTGAAATTCTTTGAGAGAACAGTGTTTGGAAAATCATCATCTAGGTTTGCGAAATGTATGTACTAACGAGATGCGGTAATTTCTTGTCTTAGTTGGCGTTTTCGTCCTGAAAGTTCTACTGGACTTCAATTAATTTCCAGAACTGGTTATAAGACGTGACTGGTTAATCGTTAACAGCAGTACAGGTTACCAAATGCAGGCACTCTTTGCTGGACCTTATTGATTAGCCAGAAAGTAATTTAGTTTTCGTGTTTCTCGGCACCTTTTTCTTTAAAACAGTACGAGTAACGGAAAACAATGTGTGTGAAAGAGACATCATGTTCATTGTTGTAACTATCCTAGTTTTTAAATTACTTTTAGGCTGCTAACCGCAAGAAAATTGCAAATTCACTTTTCAGTTTTCAGAAGGTACATCATCACAACCTTTTTATACCCACAGATACTGTAAGATGAGGGTATGGGGGTCATGTTGTTTTTTTCCATAATCTATGTTACACCCAAAAGGAAACTTCAGAGATCCTATAAGGTATATATATTCTTGATCAGCGTAAGGTCCTGCGTTGATTTAGCCACGTCTGTCCGTCTGTCCATGTGCGTCTGAGTGGTGTGTGTTGTTGGAATTCGTCTGCTCGCAAAAATGAAGATGTCAACTATAAATTTGGTAGAAACATTGGAAGTTTCGGCACGCAGGTTGGTACTGATGGTGCAAATTTTATCTTTTTGTCGCAATTTGTATGAATGCGGTTGAATGGTTGGGCAAAAGGCGCCGCATTAGCGCACATTGCTAAATCTACTCGAAATCGAATAAATACACCCTATCACTCCTTCCTATGGTAAGGAGGTAATAACATTTACCGGTTTATTTGTATAAAGTCCTCTATGCAATCGTTGAATTTTTTTAAATCTAACTGTTGTTCCCTTTCGTTTAAAAACATATTTTGTTTATTGTCTGCTGGCGACAGACCCACAGAACGCACTCTTAATTCCAAGCTGCGCATATGGCTGGTTAAAATAATTAAATATGCCGGTGGATATGAATCATTGGCTACATTTTGTATAGCCTGTACAACCAACGCCACCAATTGATAGGTGAAGCATACAGCGTAAGCTAAATCGTTATTCTGCCAATCTAAACCATACCAAGCGGGAAACAGTAAAGAGCGATCTTCGCTGTAAAGAACCATCAAGACACTTAAGCTGGTGCCAGTCGTGGATATCGCCCAGAATATACAAAATGATAATTGAGCGGTACGTATAGCTCGTTTAAGTTGTCGGTATTCCTCTTCGGTATTTAATCTCTTATCTAAATATTCAAATATTATTTTTATTCGTTGCAACTCTTTTCGTACTAGAAAAACATTTAGAAATTTTAAATTTGCTGTGATATCACTTAAGGTTATAATAAGATTTTCGCATAGTTGTTGCAAGTTTTTAGAGAAAAATACATTGATCACGAACGTTAAAGGAAATAGCAGGGTGACTAGAATGTTAACAAGTACAGCGTACAAGCGATACCAGTACGTGGGAAAGTAACGAGGTTGTATAATACCGGTTAGCTGCCAAACAAGCCAGTGGTATCGAAAGGCGGTATTG